GAGATGGGCTCGGAGGCTGCCGCCTCGCTGGGCCTCCTGGGCCAGGGGGCAAAGGAAAACACACAACCAAAGAAACCAGGGAAGAAGTGAGGTGGTTAGAGCCCCACATCCTGGGAATGAGGCTGGGATGAAAGAGAGGCACAGCTGGGGGAAACGGCCCAGAGAACAGACCGGCAATTGTTCCTGGGACGGCTGGCCCTCGATGCACCAGGGGCTGGCATGAGCTTTGTGCGTTAATGTAATTAAGGGCCCTGTGGGGGCCAATGTTTGGAATCTTTTAACTCCCGCCATTCTCACAGCACAGCGGAGAGAGCAGAGCACGGCACTGTAAGAGGTGGCGATGGGTTTCCAGGCAGCTCAGCTAAAAGAGGGCAGCAAGGGGCAGGCGGGCCTGGGCAGTGGGAGGCCAACCCCCATCGCAGGATGCCCGAGAGGCACTTTCTCCTCTTGTGCATGGTCCCCAAGGCCCCTGCCCCTCAGCCTAAGCCTTGCCACTGCCATAGCCCCAGTTAACATTCTCCTCAATAATTGGGGTTGCAGAGAGTCTGAAAGCCCAGGGAGCAAGGGTCAGAGTTAATTAAGGGAAGGAAAAATGTCTCTGCTCTTCTTTGAAGCTCCCCTCCTTCCCACACCTCCTGGCTTGGGCATCTAGTTTCAGAAAGCTCCCAAGGTGAGGTTCTCCATGTCTGGAGCAGAAAGAAACAACAGCACATGGACTTGCTGGACAGAGCAAGAGGTCAAGAGGGCTTCTAGAAACCTTGCTTTCTGGAACCCCAAATTTCCCAGAGGTATGGCAAGGAGTCCACCCCCTGCCCATTCAAAGGAGAGCCTCATCTTCACCTACAGTCCAGGTACCTGTTGCTCAGCAACAAAGGCAGGATGAGTTCCTGCTACCAAGGTGGGATTCCCCCCGATGGCACGGGGGCATTCTGTAGGCTAAACAACAATAAATGACACAATGTAAGCATTTTACAAACATCATCTCATCTAAACTCCTAACTACCCTATGTGTTAGGTATAGTTGTTACCCCACTTTACAGATGAGGAACCTGGGGCTTAGAGAGGATAATTAACGTACAGTACCCAAGGTCAACAAGCCAGCAAGCAGCAGAGGAAGGATACAAAGCCCAGTACCCTGACTCCATAGCTGGTACACATATCCCCTGTCCTCTCCTGAGGGCCTCTCTGTCACTGGACAGCAGAAACAAGCCTCATGGAGCTTGCAGCCTGGTACGAGGTTCTTAGCTGAGGGTCTGTGAGGTTTCTGGGAGACTTGCGGCACCCCTGTGAAATCGAATGCACAATTTCATGTTTGTGTGTGCCTGCGTTAAGGTGGGAAGAGCTTCGAAGTTCTCTGTAGACTATCAAAAAGGGTCTGGGCTAGAAAAAGGGTTAAGAACCAAGGGTCAATTTTTAAGTATCCCCAATGTCTTGCTAAGTTGATTCTAGAACACAGATCTTCTGACTTGAGTTGAACCCTCTACTTTTTCACTTTACCTATTTCCTCTCCTAACAAGAGAGCAGTCTGAATTCCTCTAGAAAGGGAAGGCATACTAGCCTTTGAGAATTTGGGGCAACTGACTTTGAAAACCCACCAAGCCTGATAGTATATCCAGGAGGTATACTGGGTGGCAGGAGGGAAAAAGTTAACAGCCAGGTCCTGTGGAATTAAAGGATTTCCTACTTCTTTCCAACACTTAAAACCAAGTTCCAACATTGTTACCAATTCTGGTCCTGGGTTTTTCTTAGATCTACATAGAGAAAAAATTTATTCTGAAGCCCCCAAACTATCAGAAATTAGCAGAGAGGAACAAGTTTCTGTTCTAAACTAATTTGCTACCGTTTTAAAGATCACAGGATATCCTTTAGCTGAAGCTATCTTTCTCATTTTCAGATGTTCCAAGACAGTACACAATCACAATGATGCTGCTGCCAACATTTGTTCCCCAGCATTGTCAAGCACAAATTCTGTGTGCTGGGCTCCAATGCTCTACTCACCCTACCCTAGGGGGCAGAGGCATTATTATCTCCAATTTCAAGATGACCAAATTAAGGAGCAGAGAGGCTAAACAGCCGCCCAAGTATACACAGCGAGTACATGGCAGTGCCAGGATTCAAATCTGTATCTATTTGACCCCAAAGATAGGGTTCTCAACCAGGGCCATTAAAAGTGCATCTGTAAACCACCCACAAATGGTTAGTTGTTGGTCCTTGGCAAAATTAGCTTAGGAAAAGAAAGTAGGGAAGAATTCAAAAACCTTTCTAGCAAGTTGGCTGTAGCACAACATCCAAGCACATGACCTGCAGACTTGCCTCCCTGGTAGGATATACAGTAATTCAGATGTTGTCAGACTCACATGAACTGCTCATTGGTCCCTCAACAAATTGGGGGGAGGGGAGATGTTTTTCAACTCAGTCTAAAGCCAGAGGCATGTAAGATGCTCAGACGAGCCCTCAGCTATCCTTCAGCTTCCAAAGGATTCTACTATGCACATGAATCACCTTGTTAAAATGCATTCCTATTCCATGCCCCCACCCCACTCCTCTCCACCCAACCACATCCTTCCTTATCTCCAAATTCTGCTGGAAATGCATCCCCAGAAGGTCTGGTCCAGGCACAAGAGCAGGGGTTTCCCATCTTGGCCATTATAGATATTTTGAGTCAGATGGTTCTCTGTTGGGGGTGGAGGGCTGTCCTGTACCTTGGCAGATACTGAACAGCATCCCTGGCCTCTACCCACAAATGCCAATAGCATCACTACTCCCAGCTCTGACAACCAGAACCTACTCAGACACTGTCAATGTCTCCTTGGAGGCAAGATTGTCCCTGTTTGTGATCCACTGCACTAGAGGGGATGGTTCTTCACCTTGGGGCACATTAGAAGCACCTGGGGGCACCTATAATCTTAGGTATGCCTTGCCCCACCCCACACAGGCAGAATCAGCTATTCTAATAGGCAGCAAGGGAAGACCACTGCAGGGAAATACTCTCTGGAGATTTTAGACCTCTGTCTGATCCAAGCTTCTACAAGTAAACAGAAATGCCTGTCACTTTAGATACTCTAATGCTCTTCTAACGTGTTGGTTGGCTCCTCTGTTAGACCAGATCTCTCCAGATGCAGGAACTGTACCTGATTTTCCCTCCCCCACAACCCCCATTCCCACACAAAACCCAATGTAGTGCCTGCCTCTTGTTTTTGCACATCAAAAAAAGTTCATAAATGCCTTCCACCCAAATTGCAGATGAAGAAACCACTTTAAATAGCACCAACTCACTCAGATGCAGCACGTTACAAGGAAGAATTACAAAGGGAGGAAGAGACAGGAGAGATGGTGCTAGAGAAACCAGCCACCTGATTTGGGTCTGAATGTCCAACCCCTGATTGAGACTGTTCATGCTGTCCTTGGGGTGGGCATGGCTGGAGTCCCCACCTCTGCTTACCTGGCCTCTGGATGCTCATGTTTATGAGTCACCACCCCTCTGACCAGAATGGAGGGCATGAGGCTGGGGTCATTAGCAGTGAACTCCAGTCTAGCAGACCAGATGCTACCTTCCTCAGGCTGACTTGAGGATTAGTGAACACAGGCCCCGGCCAGCTCCTTTCTGGGTCCTGCTTCTGGGCTGGGATCTTTTCCCATACCTCCCTCAAGGGTCCCCAGGAGCCACGGGGACCTGACTGAGAGGTCAGCCCAGTGTTCAGACACACAGTCACCCTACCTGGAGGCTGCCCCTGCCCACCACCCCTTCAGACAAGACTAAAGAGAAATGGGAGCATCAAAGCAGGGTATCTTGGTGCGGACATGGCTCTTCCCCGAGAAGTCGCAGTGCACTCATCAGTCGCTCATTCACCAGGAGACAGAGAACACCTCACGTGTGATCTAGGCGCTCGGAGAGAGGACATGCCCTCCTTACTGACTGCCACGTTCGGGCACCTTAAAGACAAAAGGTTGAGCAGGGGAATTCAGGGACCAAGTTTCCCCAGAGACAGCAATGACTCTCCAAGTACCCACGATCAGCTTTCGCTGGCTAATCCAGAAGAATGCAAATTGCCACTGTGGTCACCTTACATTTAATGAATGGGTTAGTGTTCTTTCTGGGATGTTACTTATTTGGTATTCAGTGCCAACAGGATGAGCAGTGCTTAAAGCTCTGCTTCAGGTGGCCCTGGCCAGCTTGCCGAAGTCATGCAGGGCAGAGGGCCTTCCACTCAGCGGTGGTCAGAGTTGACAATGATCTTTCTTCCCTCCCCTCAATTACACACACACTCACAGCCTGTTGCCTAGAGACGGACGCATTCCTGGTGCTTACTCTTCTTTTCACTCCTCAGAAGCAGGAGCTCTGGAAACAGGGGCCTCCAGGAAATATGCCTGGGGCCAGGGGGAAGGGGGAAGCCCGCTCCAGCCCCGCTGCCCTCCCTGTCCTCCCTGTCCTCCCCAGGTTTGAAAGCCCCAGTAGGCTGGAACTGAAAGGCTCCCACAGGGAACAAGGCCCCCTTTGAAAGCCTGTGTTTACCCCAGCTGCCTGCAGCCAGGGGTTGCTATGGCCACAGTCCACCTTTGCCAGCCAAGCCTAGGCAGACTGGGGCCTGACCAATGTCAGCACCCACGCACCCCACCTTGAACCCCTTCTAATGGACTCTACTAACCCCACAACACCCCCTGTCCTGGACCCTCACTACTGCTGGAAGCTCCCCAGGCTGAAAACATAAGCCTGGAGAGTAAAAGGGACCTGCCGGAGAAAGTCCAGGGCTGCCTCCCTCCAGGGTCCCTGAGAGAAAGACCAGGCAACTCAAGTAGCCGGGCTGGGGAGGAGATGCTGGCCAGGTCCGCACATGCTTCCCCAGGAACCACCCTGCCCCCTGGGCAGCCATTGGCCCAGCTGCTGATGGGAATGACTTATTTATGTAATTCATTATCACTGTGTCCTGGAGCCAAGAGGGATCTGGCAGAGGCAAGACCTCAGCCGCTGAGGGAGGAAAGGGAGGGACTCTCCTCCCCACCTCAGCCTGAACCAGGCAGCCCAGCCGCTGCTGCTGCTGCTGCTGCTGCTGCTGCTGGAAACTGCTGGGCGTGGCACCAGCTGCTTCGTAGGTCATGTCAGGAGCTGGCTGCTGCTGGAAACTGCTGGGCCCTCCCTGCCCAGGGACAAAGGTGGGAAGCCGAGGTCTGGCAGTGTGGGCTCCACTGGGCTCCTGAGCCAGAAGGCCCCTGAACAGAGGCCCTCCTTGGCTCCCCAGATCTCCCTAGGCCCTTCCCCCTAAGGAGGCAGAGAGCAGAGGCTCTGAATAATTCAGCCCTCAACTGCTCGGTGGTCAGAAGGGCTTCTTCATTTATTTTTTAACTCTGGGCTCTGCAGTTGCAGGACCGGAAACACTCTAATCCCAAACCTGAGGCCTGGTGGGAGAGCCAGCACCCAGGATCTTGCAGAGTCATCCCTAAAGGCTCTAGCCAAGGGGCAGGGAAGCAGATGGGGGGGGGGGCGAAGAGAGATGGTCAGCACTGGCTCCTGGCTCAGAGGCTGTGTCTCCACCTGAGTGTGGACAGCTCTGAAAGAACCGGATTAATAGGAAGACCTGAGAAGCAGTGTGGACAAGGCCCAAATCCCTCCATTGGCAGGCTCTCCACGCCTCCCTGCTCCCCCTCCAGCTTCCTGTCCTCTCTCAGGGCTTCTTCTTGCACCTCCAACCCCAAATAGACCTCCAAGTGTATTTTCATTTGTGAAGGGCCTGAGCGCTGACCACCTGCCTATAGAGATCCCTGGAGTTGGCATGGCCTCGGTTTCTATTAATAATATTACTTAATATTTTGCCGGGAACTCATTCACGTAATCCTCACAACACCTTATCTGAGGTCGGAAAGGAAACTGAGACTCAGGGAGTTAAGAAATCTGCCCTGGTCACACAGCTGACAGGCAAAGAACAAGGATTCAAACCCAGCCATCCCACCCCAGCCTCCACGCCTGCACCCGCATTTGTTTGGACATAGGCTGCCCGCACAGAGTCTGCAAAGGACAGAACTAACTAACCCAGAGAGGAGGCTTGCTCATAGGTACACAGCCAGTTGGGTCAGTGTGGGGACAAGGACTGAAGTGCTAAATCCGGGTTAACATCCCTTCCACGTCACACAGGTTCAACCATAGAAGCATTTGTATTCGTGTAGGTGAGAGATACACACTTACTCCCTCTTTTATGATGTTATGCTCTAACAGCCCATAAACCTAGCTGAACCCTTGGCAACAGCTGGGCTGGCCTAACCACTCCCTCCCATACCCATTTCCTGACCTTCCAACAAACAACTCCTCTATCTCCACCAAGAGTTTTATATTCTGGTTTACACCATTATAATCCCTCCTACGCCCTTTTAGGGCAGTGCAATCTCCAAATTTCCTAACAAGAGGTCCCACACCACCATACCAGTTCATATGTAAGCAGCTCCTTACAGTGTTCAAAACTTCTAGAGACGTTATCCAACCAACCCAACAACCCTTGGACCAGCTAAGCATGGCCAGGTTTCTGAGGTGTCTGCCCAGCTCACATCCTTTCTGTGAGGACTGGCTCCACCCCCATTCACAGAGGAAGACCCTCAGTGCCATGGGGGTACTATAGGACCATGTTTCCTAGCCATAGCTAATTGAACCAGCAGTAGAAGCTGACCCAATCTAGCCAATCAGATACTCTCCCCGGAAATTCAAATCAAAGTTCAGACACTTATTTTGTCTCTGATGGTTACTAGAAAGAGGATGGATCTACTTGGGAGCCAAGGGACCATGACATCTGACACATGTCCACAAAAGCCGTGGCATCCTGCAGGTGCATCAGAGGCACTGAGAGCAGCTGCCTTCATCCCAAGCACCCAGGAGGCCAGCTGCATTTCCTGTCCTTGATTCTTCAATTCCCCCATGGCTTCAAGTAGCTGGTTTCTGTTCCTTACACCCAGTCAAGCCTGAACAGAGATGGCTGGTCTTACTATCCCCATGTACAAAGGAGGAAAGAGACTCCAGAAATGGAGTATGTGAATATCGCATGACCAATGTGCGATCACAGAGCAGTTATAAAGCCTGCCCTTCGGGGCCACCTCTTGCCTCCTTCCTCGGGCCAAAGGGAGGGGCAGGTATTCCCTTCCTGTCTGGGATGCTCCAGTGTGATAAGGCCAGGAACGAGAAACACAGAAATCCTCTCCTTTGCAACTGTGAAGACAGCCCTCTGCTCCTCTACAGGAGCATGTCCTAGCTTCCCTCGAATCAAGGTCCATGCCATGTGGCTAGTTCTGGCCAGTGAAGTGAGAGCGGCAGGTAGTGTCCTGCCAAGGCAGTTCAAATCCAGGATGCTGCTCTTCCCTTCCTGCAGTCCCCTTGAAGACTCCATATTCCAGGAGGACTGACAACAGATGGAGAACTGCCTCAGCCCTTCAGAACTCCCGTGAGCTAAAGACAAACCTTGACTGTGTCGGGCCCCCAGGAAGCAGGGTTTTGAGTGCTCCTGTGGCACAGTCTGGCCTCTCTTTTTGAGGGAAGCACAAAAATGACCCTCACATGCCCTTCAGCACATCCTGGTCTGCAGGATGCTGCATTCAATTGACTAATGTTCACCTGTGTAGCAAGTATTTCTGGAGCATCAGTGCCAGATGTCAGAATGGGTACAGCCAAGGGCACAGTACTAGGGGGAAAAAAACAAAAACACCCCAATAGCTACCCTGAGGACGCTCCCCTCTGTGTTGACCCATAGGCCCCACTGGGGACTCAAAGAAATAGTTCTCAAGTGCAAATGCAGAGCTTCCATAGGACCCCTGGCTGACAGAGTCCTGAGATATGCCAAGTTACAGGAGGCAAAGACAGCGTGTCCCAAGGACTCCAGGAAGGTGGCAGCCAAGAGCAGTTCACACCAGGCTTTCCCACCCTGGACTCCACCTCTCCCAGCCTCATGGCTGTGGCTGCAAAGTGTTTCCCTGGCCCTGGGCACAGGTCAGAGGGGGAAGACATCAAGGAGAAGTTGTCAAGAGAGTATGAGGCTGTAGAAAATGGGAACAGCGAAAGACACGCTGCATCTGCCTCCACCCTCCTCTGCAACAGAAGGAAATTCTTCTTCTGGGATCATCTCCCTGCTTAATTTTTAAGTGGAAAGGTCCTCAACTTCTGAATTTTCCCCCCATCAACCCACATAGCTGAGAATTGACCAGAGAAGTCATCACTTTGTCAAGTGTCTAGCTACATAGTCTCCTTTTCTTATGCCAAAAGCTAGTTAAGAAGAGGAAAAGTTAGGCAGGCAGGGTCACTGTAGACAGTCGTGCAGGCTGTTGGCTGCACAAGGTGCCCCTCCAGAGGAGCCAACAGAGCAGGAATCCAGCCCACACTCTGCTTACCAGGCTGTGGGCCCTGGAGGAAGGGACCTTCTTCTAATTCACCCCACGTGGTCTGCTCGGGCTTCTCCATAAGGAGTGAAGAAGCTCGGGGATGGGTACATAGAAATTTACTATATTAGACCCTCTACTTTTGTGTAGGTCTGAAATTTATCTCAACAAAAGTTTAAAACAACAACAACAAGCGATCCCATCCAGTAAGTGGATATGTTACTTGGACAAGTTACTCAGGCTCAGTTCCCAGATCCCCAAAGATAATAATCCCTGGCTCTTCGAGCGGGTGTAGAGACTAAATTAAATTACATAAATAAAATGCTTGATACAGAATTTGTCCTCTTCCAAAAGGGAGCTAATAACCGTAGCTGCTGCTGATGGTCGGGGCAGGAAGAAAACAGGCAAACAGGAGGAAAGGGATACTGTCAAGAAAAGTAAGCAGACATGCATGACCAGAAATCAGAGTCTGAAAAAAGGACCATCTTATTAACGTTCCTAATGGAGCCTGGGGCCCAGGTTGGGCTGAGATTTCTCCTGCACGCACTCCCTCCTGGGCAGTATTCAAGTCCCTTGGGGAGCCCCAGCCTCGGCTCAGAATCCACGCTAAGGTCACTGGCCTATAGAAAGGTCAGCAAAGGTTGTGCTCCCATCCTCCCAGCAAACCTGAGGTGGGCTGGCCAGGCTGGAAGGCCCATGGCTGGAGTCCTGGAAGAGAACCAGATGTCCCCACAGATGTCACAAAGAGGACCCTGGGTATGAGTGATCATTCACATCCAAGAAAGTCCAGAACTATTTTCAATTGTTTAGTCTTATGGGCTAAGTTTTTATGCTAATGTCTTCAACATGACCATGGCTGAGGATGAATTTCACCAGCAGGCTACTTTTAAAGATGCATCCCCTCTGTGTATCCCTTTAAGGCCTAAGGTCCCAGAACCTCACCAGGATGAAGAGGGCTGAGAGCGGCAGTGACGGAAGCTGGAAACCCTTCTGAAAGCCCCTGGAGGGACCCCACCCTTGGTACAAGCCACCAGGAACCTGGTACCCACCCTAAGAGGCAGGTATAGAAGGCTCTGGCTTCAGTCAAATGCCCTGTCACTTGGCTGGCTCTCTCTCTCTCTCTCTTTCAGGATGAAAACTAATAGGATGATTCATTCTCTTATTAAATCAACTCCTTAGAAAAAGGGAAGTCACCCAAGTTCCCAACCTTCTGTAGAATACAAGCTACTTCATGGCTCACCCCCCACATGGACTTAACAGAAACGCCACTAGAATCCCACCCTTCACCTTTCCCCTCCTGTCTCAAGCATTCACTATCTTTGGCCATTTTTTATGTTCCCACCAATGCTGCCGCTGGGGTCAAGTCATGGTTTAAAGACACGTTTCCAGGGGCTGGGGATGTGGCTCAAATGGTAGCGCGCTCGCCTAGTATGCATGAGGCACTGGGTTCGGTTCTCAGCATCACATAAAAATAAAGATATTGTGTCCACCAAAAACTAATATATATATATATTATATATATATATTTTTTTTTTAAAAAAAAAGATAGGTTTCCAATAAAAATGGGATAGGAGGGAAGGGGATGTGCAGCTTTGAAAGCCACAGGCATGCAATCCCTCCCAGCAGATAGTAAAAACCCACCCAGAAAATGTCCTCTGTCCCTGCTGAATCTCCTCAGCTCTGTCCCAAACTTAGAAACAGCTGTTTCACTATAACTCCAAAATAAGCTCTCAGATGCTCTGTCTCCTCGTTCCAACACTGTGATCTGTACACTTAATCTGCCTGCAGGCTCAGTTTATCCCTCCCTCAGCTTGTCCAGTAAGAAGAATAACAGTCACAGAAGAATCGCAACACTACAGTGTTACAGAGCACTCTGGTGAACACACAGACCTAGTTGCCGAATTTTTGAGTTCAAAGCCCACTTCCTCAGCTAACTAGTGGTATGACCTTAGGCAAGTTCACTTAATCTCTGGGTGCCTCAGTCTCCTCCTGTGTAAAGTGGTGGTAATACTATCTCCTAGAAAGTTGATTAACTCCATTAATATTCCTACATGCTTAGGCAACTGACTGGCGTGCAATAAGCATGCAATAAATATCAGCTGTTATTACTAGACTGTTAAAACAACCCTGTGCAGTTGGGATCATGATTTGCAGCTCTATTTAACAGACATGTTCAAAAGTCCCTTGCTGTAAAGGGGTAAAACCATAGACTAGCCTCAAGAAAAGTACAAATTAACAAGTTAAGTGACCTGCCCACACAGCAGAGCTAAGACTAGATCTCTGGTCATGGACTTTAATTTGCACGCTCACAAATTTCACACTATAACACGCTCCCTCCTTCAGGCATGGAAACTTGAGCCGTCCCATGGATCTGCATCCAAAACTGCTTTCAATTCCACATCCCCTAAAGAGAGTCAGAATCTCAAGGGAATGATGCAGGATTTGCCAAACAAAAGTAATTTCCCTTCTTTTTCATATTCCCAAGAAAACACTCCAAAACATCCTCAGGGAAAGGGTGCCACCCCATCAAAGGTGTCTAAGACTGCTCAAGACCAGGGATTACATCGGCTCCAACACTGTTTCAGTCTAAAACAGCTCCCTTGGGAGGCTCCTGGGCTGTCAGCAATTTTACAAAAGGTCAATGCAAATCATTTGGGAACACATTTGAGTAGGCATGGTCTAAGACTGGTGGACTTCTGCCAAGCCCATATATATTTTTTAAAGCATCTGCACTGTCTTCACCCTTGATACATTGCAGCCAAGTTACAGGAATATTTCCATTACACTCAAAAGTCTGCTTTGCCATTGCTACTCATGGAAATGGATGTTTCCAATTTGAGAACTCCTCCTCAACAAAAACATCTAGAAACACCCAGACTTTCCAGCAGAGACAACTAATGTGGCACTTAGAAGACCTCTAAATGCTAGTGAATGATATATGTGGAAGCAAATGATTTGGTAAACATATACCCTCATGTCCAGAGACTAAGTATACCTAAAAAAGGGCTTACTCCCGTTTCTTCTAGTTCTTTTATGAGCATTCATTAGAAGTCTTCTGCACAAACACTTTCATAAAGCTCTTCATATGTTTCATAACTAAGGTAAAATCACTTTATGGTCATGCAGGAGAGAACTAGGATTAAAAAAAGTTTAGCACCATAAGGGGCTGGGGTTGTGGTTCAGCTGTACAGTGCTTACCCCGGACTTGTGAGGCACTGGGTTTGATCCTCAGCACCACATAAAAATAAATAAACAAAATAAAGGTATATTAAAAAAAAAACATTGAAATTCTTAAAAAAAAAAATTAGCACTACAGCCCAGGCTCTATCACTAAGTAGCCATGCAATTTCATGAAAAAAAAAATTTAAAGTAATGATAATAACATTAACATTGAGAACTTACAATATACACAACTAGCAGAGGCTGAATTCAAACACAGGGAGTCTGATTCTGTGCTCTTAACCACATACCATGCGTCTTTTCAAGGTGCTTAATGACCCGGGACCACAAATTCCTCTAGGAGCAGACTGAAAAAAATCTTCAAAATCCTTTCAGGCTTTAAAATTCGGGGTTCCTCTCCTTTAGAAGTAAAATAAATTTATGACTTCAAAACATCCAATGCAATGATGCTCTAGTTCTGCTAAGATGGAATGAAACATCTGTGTATGCCTCACCCAGAACCAGTCAGGGGAGGAAAACCACTGATTTTCTGGGGTAATGATGCCCTGTGAAGCAACCCGACTGGCCCCAACCAGGAAAAATGACAGCTTGAAGTTCTTTGAGGGTGCACCAACATGCAAAGGTCTGCAAGTTCACAACGACCGGTTCTCAAACTTTCATTTACTTTTTTTTTTTTTTAAGGAAAGCCAAATGCAAGAAAATGCTGCTCATTTTGGTGGCCAGTCTATAAGATGCCAGCACAAAATGTATTTGGTCTTGTGCCAGGTGCAGTTTGCTTTCCTTTCCCGTCTACAGCTGCTCTTGGAAAATCTACCCTCTCCCAGGTAATCTGTGTATTAAGACTTCCCTGTGACCTCCTAGCCACGGCTCAGTAGTCCTGTAATCACGTGGGGTTTTGTCCTAGGCACACCTGATATCCTCATACGCTCCACCACCCAGCCTAGCCTCCGAGGCTCACTCAATCGCTGCCTTCCCCAGCTCCATCTGGGATTCGCCTCCTTCCTCTCCCTGCTCAGCACAGGAGTTCCCTCTCCACCCACCTTGCCACTTGCCCACACAGCCCGCAGTGAAACTCTCTCCCAGCTCATCCCTCCCCTGGCTCTCATCAGCTCTCAGCTCCTGGTACAAGCTGAAACTGAAACTAATCTCAGACCTGAACAAAGTGAAGCCATTTCCTGAGCCGGATCACCCTACATGACCACAGAGCATCTTCATCTCAGCAGAGCTCCAAATCCAGCTTTGGAAAAATACAAAGGTTGGCAGGCTCCCTCCTAAAACCAAATGCCTCCTTAATGAATGGGGTGTCGTAGGGCTAGAGGAGGAAGCAAGAGCTTTTGCCATGGTGGTTTCTGCTACTTCTCTTTAATTTGCACAAGTCAATTTAAATTCATCCTGGGAGCTAGAGTTCACCACCCGGTATTTTAAATTCCTTGTCCAGCATGTGTTCATATTTGATTCAATCTTAATCAGAGTCCCTTCTGAGAGCAAGCTTGCTCTCTTCTGAGACCTCTGGAGCCATCTTATCGAATGCAGTTGAGATGGTCGTACATTTTCCCCCCTAAATTTTGAAGCCTTTTTACTTTTGTGCTTGGAACAACAACAACAACAAAAGAAAAAGCCATTATTAATGTACATGTCAGCCCTTGATGATCTTTAAAAGAATTATGAATCTTAAGAAAGAATGGTAATCTTACCCTTGCCCCTCTGCATAGCTGTTCGCCCCTCTCCTTGTTGCTGAAGGTATTACAAAATGATTTCACAGTTGATTTAAGCAAAAAAAAAAAAAAAAGAATAGGAAGGGTAAGTGCATTGGCCTAGCAAGCATATGGTCAAAGAGAAATACCTTGGATTATCTGCTGTTTATTCATTCATTCAACAAAGTTTACTGGGTTTACTGCCTATAGGTCCTGTAGGTGATGGGCCAGAAGGTGCTGGTCCACCTGGGAACGCCATTCACAGAAATGTCTTCTGAGAGGGAATGGATGCTTTTTGAAGCTAAAACCCAGAGAAATGTTCAACTACTTCCAGTTCTCCTGTCTCTCTTCTACCAAGGTTTGGATCTCATCCTGGAAAGCTGTGGGTCCCTCCTGTGAGTACCCCCACTGGCTGGGATTCACTCAGGGCCAGAGCCCCAGCTGCTGAGAAGATGATGGGCCACCCAATGTTCCTGTGCTTTTTTTTTTTTTTTTTTTTGGTCACTTCATGGTCAAATGAGGGCTTGGGCCAGATGTAAGCCACCTTCTAGTCCAAAACTTCATGTCCTTTTATCCCTCATCACTGAGCTGACACGCACCTCTAGGGGCCTCTACTTCATCTTCCTGACTCCAGAGGAAACAAACCTCTTAAGCCACAAAGATAAACGAAACTCGTTCCATTTCCAAAGACCTTCGTGGGGAGGCCATTCCCCTCTGCTCCTATGAGTCACTTGTCTTACATCTCACATCCTCTCTGGAACGTCCTCCTCAGATCTTCAATTTGAGTCCCTCCTCCGCAGTTTAAATGCATTTGCCTCGGGTTCTTCTTCTAGGGCGCAGAGAGACAAGAGTGAATCACTGCCTTCTGAGTGGCAACCCTGAAGAGACTTCTGTTTCTTCAGCGCAGGAGGTGACAGTGACAACTCAGCTATTAAGAACCACAAAGGCATGGAGGAAGCTGACCACACTGCCCAGTTCCTGCCTCACCCAGCCAAGGTTGCTGCAGGATCAAGAAAACCTGACCTCCTCTGAGGCCCACGCATGGGCCACTCCACTTTACTCGGAGTTCATGGAGCAGGAGAGTTATGTCCTCCTGTGGCCAAAGAACCTAGAAGACAGAAGCCATCTTACTCACCCAGTTCAAGTGCCCCCTTCTTCAGGAGCCTTCCTTGCTCCAGTTCCTCTTCAAAGTAGCCCATTCTTCAGGGCTTCATTGGGTTTTTTTCTTCTTTGTGGCACTGGGAATTAAACCCAAGATGTCCACACAGGCTAAGCAAGTGCACTACCACTGAGCCACATCCCCAGCCCCAGGGCTTCATCTTGTCACAGCACTTGCCATGATGATTGGAACTCTAGGCTAAATTGTTTGTCTTGCTTCTGAACTACAGGCCTCTTCAGGGTGACCTTTGTGCCCTGGGTCAGACATCAGCAGAGTGCCCAGCACTTGGTCAGTGGCTCAATAGACTGTATTCAGCGGAACCCTCCAGTCCTGTTCCTGAACCCTGAACACACCTAACACTGCCCCCATCGGCAGCACAGTTGGCTAACAGAGCACAGCGCCCCATTTCCAGAGACACCACAGTTTGGCAAAGGCCTCTTCAAGAACGTCTGAAAGGGTGTGAGCCTAAAGCAGGCCACTTGAATTCCAAATCCTGCCTCTGCCACCTTCTACCTCCATGACCTGCGGCAAGTTATTTAACCTCTTGATGTCTCTTAGGTTTCTGTTTCTTCATCTGACAAATGGATGTACCTCAGAGGGTCTTGTGAGGCTTAAATGAGCTAATCCATGGAAGCACTAGGGACAGGGTCCATCCACAGCAGTGATCTGACCTCTCTTTGAGTGTTGGAATTAGGTTTCCCAAGCCCAGTCTCCCATGGAAACCCCTCACCACCCGCTTCCACTAGACTGTATATTGGGTCTCCCCCATCCCCTCACTAGGCACCCTGTCCCTCTGGACCAAGGTTAGCATTATTCCCATGCACCCTAGTCTCCAGCTAATAGGGCAAACTCTCCAAGAAAGGGGAGGAGAGTTGGTTCCACAGGAGGGCTACAACTGCTGAGTCATTGCACTCCTAAAGATGCTTAGCTCTCAGCCCTGACATTTCAACACCTGCCCCCCAACACCTGCATACACCACCTCATTCAAGAGCCTCTCCCCACCTCCTCCCATCCCTCCAAAGCCAGCCTCAGCTACTACAGTATCTTGTTTGTTTTGGTTGGGTTGTGTGTGTGTATGTGTGATACTGGGAATTGAACCCAGCGGTACTCTACCACTGAGCTACATCACCAGCCCTTTTTATTTTTATTTACTATTTATTTGTTTGCAGTACTGGGATTGAACACAGGGGCACTGTACCACTAAGCTACACCCCCAGCATTTTGTATATTTTGTTTAAAGAAGTGGTCCCACTAAGTTACCCAAGCTGGCCCTAAACTTTAGATCCTCCTGCCTCAGCTTCCTGAGTAGCTGGGATTACAGGTGTGGGGCACTGCACCTGGCTTTATTTTTTAATTTTGATATTGGGTCCATGCTACTACATCTATATGGTTTTGACCAAAGGTTTTCTTTAATAACAAATCTCCGAACTTTTGCACCACATGCAAAAATAATAATAATAATAATAATAACAATAGCTTCTAACAAATGACAGCTTACTTTTCAGATCTCTTTCAACTCCTTCTAAGCATGAATACTTCCAACATGAGGCACTTACAAAGATTTAGAGTAAGATAAAGAGCTGGGATTCTACCTGGGGAGCCCTAACTTCAGATCCTATGCCCTAAACTACTAAGCTGTGGGGCTGACGAGAGCTCAGTGGTAGAACACACACAGGCCCTGAGTTTAATCCCCAACACACACACACACACACACACACACACACACACACAAACGGAAACCAAAAAACCACTAAAGCCTGATGGAAATGGGCACAAAATGGCTAGATTGCTTCCTTGGTGTGCAGGTTAGACCACTAGAGTTAGATCTTTCATATCCCACCAAAAATTCCTTAAAAACCTTTGGTGCTGTCATAATAGAAATGCAGTGATCACATTGTATGAGAAAGGATTTATGTTTATAAGCATTGTTATTGCATTTATTATTTATGACCTGTTTTAAAGATAAGAACTTTAAAGGCATCATTAAGAGTCCATTATATTGTTCTGACACATCCAAGAGGTTGGAAGCAGGCAGATAGGGGAGGAGAGTGAGCCAACACAGAGGTCACCAACTCACAGCAGCAAGAGCCACAGAAGTCACACACTGGGGAAGATGAATTCGCAGTGGTTGCCATCTTAAGTGCTACTAAGATGACTTCCAAATCCAAAGTCAGGACCACTGGACAGCCCTTGCCAGTGCCCTTTTTTATTTATTTATTTTGAACCCAGAGGTTCTTTAACACTGAGCTACATCCCCAGCCCTTTTTCTTTTCTTTTTTCTTTATTTATTTTATATTTTTGGTACGAGGGATTGAACTCAGTGGCACTCAACCATTAAGCCACATCCCCAGCCTATTTTGTATTTTATTTAGAGACAGTGTCTCACTGAGTTGCTCAGGGCCTCAGAATTGCTGAGGCTGGCTTTGAACTCGTGATCCTCCTGTCTCAGCCTCCAGGGCCACTGGGATTACAGGCATGAGCCACCGTGCCCGGCTTTATTTTCTTATTTTGAGACAGGGTCTTGCTAAGTTGCTTAGGGCCTTGCTAAGTCACCAAGGCTGGTCTCAAGCTTGCAGTGCTCCTGCCTCAGCCCCCCAAGTCACTGGAATTACAGGAATGTGCCACCATGCCTTCTCCAGGGTCCTTTAAGGCTCTTACTTCCCATAAGTGTAGGAGACAGCAGACCAGAGACACCCCCTCCTTCAGGTCACTTTGTATAGTCAGAAGTGATCCCAGTCTGAAGCCCAGTTTCCTGTGCCCAAGGGTTCTAAAAACTCCCAGCTCTGTTGTTTAGTGCCAGAAAGAGTAACTGTAGAATAGGCTCAAGGAAGAAACTGGAGTGAGTGGTCCATATGCCAAACACTGTGTTCAATAGTTCAACAGAGAAGTCCCCATGAGCTGCTGTAGTCGGGGGGATGGGAGGGACTTGAGATGAAGGAGGGCTTATCAATACCAAGGCAGAAAAGTTACACAAAGCAGACCCTCCTAAAGGCTCTTCTAGATCCCAAGCAAGTGCAGACTCCACAAACACCTGTGCCACAGTCTAGGGCCTAGTGAGCTGTGGGTAAGAAAGAAAAGGAAGGCCAGGCCTTCGGGCTGCACTGTCTCTGGCTTCTACTTGCCTTATAAAATCCTGAGGGATGGAAGGAAGCCTATTCTTGGGCAATTCTGCCCCAAGGTCTCCTTAAGAAAGTCTTTCACTTTTTTTTTTTTGGTACCAGGGGCACTTAACCACTGAGCCACATTCCCAGAATATTTAAAAAATATTTTGTTTAGAGACAGAGTCTCAATAAGTTGCTCAGGGCCTCACTAAGTTGCTGAGGCTGGCTTTGAACTCAAAATCCTCTTTCCTGCCTCAGTCTCCTGAGCTGCTGAGATCACAGGCATGCATTACCACTGGCTGACAGTCTTTGACACTTAGCACTCTCCACCTAGGCACCTCAACACCATTTCCCCAAGATGTGAAGGGGCTCCTAGAGGGCCTAGCTCCTGCACCTAGTTAAAACCCCAGTATACCCACCCCACACTAGTGCATTTATTTTGCTCTAATTTAGTAGCCCAATTGCCCCAGCCCAGGGCCTCCACACCACAAAGACAGCAAACTCAGCCCCTGGAGAACGATCACCTCAGCTGTCCCCATCCTCTAGCTAGCTGTAGGGAGCTGGGAGCCAAACCAGAACCTCCAGGTCCCCAAAGTCCAAAGTTGCATGGCAAGGTCATGAGAAAAGACCTCACAAGAGGTATACTTTTTGCACCCTGGGATTATTCACTTCCAGCAGCAAAGAGGGAACTGTTTCAAATGGACTAGGCTAGACCACAAACTCTAGAGTAAGGATCTAATCAGAATCCTGCATGTGTGCATGATTTGGGGATAAGAGGGTAGAACATTCACCAGATTCTCAACAAGACCCATGACCCTAACTTTCTAGCTTTAATTCCTCCCTTCCCCGTAGTCATTTCACCATATCTGGGCTATCCTAGCTGTCCAGGATCTGTTCCCCTGCCTCCTGCTCCTTCCAGTGGCAGAAAGTAGACAGAGAAGTTCAAACCCAACCCCTCTGCAGACATCCTCCAGCTTCCTGTTGGTTGAGAGATGATCCCATACCCGAGATATCACTCTCCATTCAAAGGGAGGTCCCAATTCACACTTGTTCCAGCAGGGGCCAAGCAGAGAGATGAGATGACTTCCTCCATCAGAGAATTCCCACTCACCTCCTTCAGGCACCAGGCTAACTCCACCAAGCTATAAAGAAATGGTCTGTGAGGCCCAGATCATCCTTTCTCCTGGGTCAGGTGGCTGCAAGTTAACCAAGGGAAAGGCTTATCCCCAACTCTCTGTTGCTGCCTGAGGAGCAGGTAGGGCGTGGGATGGATGGTCTTCTATCCAGTATCACCTCTGAGACGTCTTATTCTAAACTCCCAGTTAGTCCCTTCAATCTCTACTGCCACCAAAGGAAGGAAAATCTAAAACCTCCCTCCCCTTAAAACAAATTCCTTCCTGGAATTTAGCTCCTTTCTTGGAGTTAAAACTTTTTAAAAGAGGAAATGAAATGGCTAAGCCAATGCTGGGTGCATGGCAACAATGCACAAGAGAAAATGAAGAGGACAGAAGGAATCAAGGCAACCGCCAACCCCCTGGAGCGTAGCGCCCTGAGCACTTAAGAGCCAGAGGGGCGGGATGGGGGGCAGCAGGGGCGGGGACAGCGCATTCTGAACTTTCCCTAGCCCGGTCTCCGGGAGATGCAGCTCCCAGGGGACGGGGTGGGACCAGAAACGGCTAAGCCGACCTGTGACATCGGCGGGAGCAGGAAGCGAGTCTCCCCTCCCCCTAAAAGGAGCTCTGCTCCCAGCCGGCACCCCAGCCTACAGTCGCCGCCCTGCCTGCACCCCCAGGCCGGGACAAAACGGGGAGGGGCGCCCACACAAAAGGGGGAGCGGCGGGAGAGGGGACTCAGGCAGCGCCGGCTCCGG